GGGGGGGGGGGGGGGTACCATCCTACTTTGAAGCTTTCTGGTATCCCCACCTTTACTTTTATCGTAAGTCTAACACATAGACTGGATAACATATAGATCAATCTACAATACAACATAAAATGTTTGGCGATCGGAGTAAATGTCACGTGGTTATAATGCCACGCCCCTTTGAGGTCTGAGTCGAACATCTGCTATTGTCGGGGTTTATTTCATGGTTATTGAAAAACTGTGACGTTATCTTCTATAAGCCCAAACTTGAGTAAACATTGAACATTTTCAGCGTTTTGGCTGAGTTTGTGCTTTGGGAGTTGTCTATTGTTTCTAGTCTGTCATTATACAGCATTTTTGTTCAGCACGCGTGCAATGACCACTCTTGGCTGCCTTCCGAATGCTCACCGAGATATGATAATTTTGGTACGCCCCGAGACAGGCGATCGCGTGACTTTTAATCAATTCTCGTGCGTCTTGTGCCTTTGCAAAAAAGTCATAAATACTACACACTAAATCTACTTACTATTAAAAAATATGATTTTTTACATGGGTTTATTGCAAGCCAATAATTAAAGCAACTAATTACTTATCTTTTTATGTGGTAGCGAAAAAATTAACTAGACTTGTAAGCACCGTAAGCGTTTCTGTGACTCTTGGTTTCGCGCTCGTTTTGCTTGGAGGTAATGCTAAAATTGTTAGCAAAGTTCTTGAACCTCCTGCATTATACAAACGGCTGAGGGTGTTCATGTCTAGGCCGGCCTTGCTTATTTTGTCCTTCATGACATCGGAAATGCCCAGCCTGTGTAGGGTAGACTTTCTTCCTTTGGCAACAGTTTTCATAGCCATGTCTTCACAAAAAGTATTTGCTTGCCTAGCCAACGCTACCATCCCTTCCAGAGTCTGTTGCAACTTGTTACTGTGTAGGACCCTTCCGAGTGAAACCACGTCCTCTAGGGAATCATGGGCGTTAAATTGCTCGCTGAACAATTTCTCGTACATTGTAGCAAGAGATTTCCCCTTGCACTCCTTTAGATGACTTCCCCGAGCCGTTTTTTCTTCTGTGATTACTTCTAGTGAATCCAAAAGCATCTGCCTGCACTCTAGAAACTGCTCAAGTAGACCCTGTTCTTTCATCGAACGTAGCAAAATGGGGAAGTCGAACCGATTACCGTTGTGGGCAACGAGAACAACCCGCGTCTCACATCCAACCTCTTTTATGAAGCTAAGAAAATCCCCCAGTCCCTGAGCTTGTGACACAGCTGGCAACTGGTTACCATTTCTGTGCAATTGCTTCGCCCCATTTTGAAAGCTTACAGACACTCCGTGAATCTTGGTCGCACTTTCCGATATCATTTTCTTGTCTGGAAGCAGGTACTGGTTAAACGGCGTCTTCCCCTGAACCAAGCACGACAGTTGAATTATCTCGCACTCCATACCAAGCCCCGTTGTTTCTGTATCACATATAGCTGGTAAAAAAGGCCCATTCGGTGTCCCCGTCTTCTCCTGAAAACATATAACAGTGAAAGAATTAGATTCAAGATCGGGCGTCAACGACGGGGTTTCGGGCGCGCACCCATATCCCTTTCCCAAAGGAGTATAACCATGTGTATTTAAAGTGCCTGCGCTTTATTTTCCAGTTTTTGAGCATCGGAAGTCTATAAGACACATCACACATCACAATTTATTACCCCTTTGAAAAGTCCTGGTGATACCTATGGATAAATTCAAGAAAGGGTGTAGCCGCTATAAGTACCTTATTTTCTGCACTCTCTTGCAGGCTCGCTATGCTCCCATAGTCATCGAATTCCTTGTCCGTAATAGTCGATCGTAGATCACTCAAAGTACCATTCGTGATTGTCAATCTGTCAGCCTCACTTTGTGTTAGTCCTACACCGCTCTCATAGGTCACGCCCTCGTTATGTTCCAATGATCGGGTCTTTTGGGTTTTCTTTTTCTTCGCACTTCTCCTAGCTCGCTTAAACGCCTTGGTTGACTGCCTTAGACTGTTTCTATCTTTCTTCTTGTCCATCACCTTGGTGTGCTTTTCAGTCACAGCATTGCCTGCTACACCCATTAGTTGCGCTGCCTGGTTAACATATCCATACCCTTCATTGAATTGCGAAATTGCTGCCGCCGTGCGGAAGTCGCTACTCTCAGATCCACCGTAGTGACGAATTTTCGGTGCTTTCGTACCAATCAAACTGTTGACGCATTCGTTTCGCTGGCTGGACCCACATGGAGCAAGCTTTTTGGCTGCCTCTTCAGTGAGAAAAGGTTTCATAGCATCCTCGATACTAGCTCGCAGATCGTCTCCCTAATCCCTCCCTAAATGACACAATTTTCCATTATCCAAGCGACACCAAAACACTTTGAAAAAAGCAATAATGCCTGTCGACCAAGATGCTTTGCGGCCGAGGTTTTGATTTTCGTATCATACGGACATATTTTGGTGAATTGCCTTTATCTAACAATATTGCGCGAAGTTTGCGAAGTATAGTTTCTCNCTTTGTGTTAGTCCTACACCGCTCTCATAGGTCACGCCCTCGTTATGTTCCAATGATCGGGTCTTTTGGGTTTTCTTTTTCTTCGCACTTCTCCTAGCTCGCTTAAACGCCTTGGTTGACTGCCTTAGACTGTTTCTATCTTTCTTCTTGTCCATCACCTTGGTGTGCTTTTCAGTCACAGCATGCCTGCTACACCCATTAGTTGCGCTGCCTGATTAACATATCCATACCCTTCATTGAATTGCGAAATTGCTGCCGCCGTGCGGAAATCACTACTCTCAGATCCACCGTAGTGACGAATTTTTGGTGCTTTCGTACCAATCAAACTGTTGACGCATTCGTTTTGCTGGCTGGACCCACATGGCGCAAGCTTTTTGGCTGCCTCTTCAGTGAGAATGGGTTTCGTAGCATCCTCGATACTAGCACGCAGATCGTCTCCCTAGAATGACACAATTTTGGATTATCTAAGCGATACCAAAACACTTTCAAAAAAGCAAGAATGCCTGTCGACCAAGATGCTTTGCGGCCGAGGTTTTGATTTTCGTATCATACGGACATATTTTGGTGAATTGCCTTTATCTAACAATATTGCACGAAGTTTGCTAAGTATAGTTTCTCTGCTAATTATTCAAAGATTTATTCTAGTGCAATTTTCACATTTTGTGAGTTAAAGCATCTCGACCGCAAGGCACGCCTTTCGACAAGCATTATTGAAATCTGATTGGCTCCCATACTCGCTATATATTTCGTGATAGATGTTCAGTGGAACCTTTGTAGGCCATCCCACGCTATATACCGGTAACGTATCTTTTTTGGGCTATAGTGGTGTTGTCTTAAAAAATGTAGAATGTGCGAAAACCAACGCGAACACCCCCGCTCCTGGTAACAGGTAGCAGCGTTTCATCCGAGATTGGCAAATTGTGAATTTACCTGAAGATCTCTTCCATCAGAAAGGTCGCCGTGACTGTCGTTGTCTGGGTCATGCTTGTATGTACACCATTCTTTGCAAAGAGTGTGTTCTCCGAACGCATGTAGCACTATCGACTTCAGCCCCTCCAACAAGGATGACGCCTTTCCCTTGTTCTGTCTTATGCAATACGTGAAGCATCTTTGGATATATCCAATAACTGCTGGGCTGAGACCCTTCACTTTGGACTTGATAGCATATAGTCTGGAACCCAACGTGCGGCTTGCGTGATTGATGTCGCTCCATTTTTCTTTGTCATAGGCTACCAATGACTGCAACCGATTCTCTGTTGTGCTATCGTCATCACCAACATACGTCGAGTAACGTACGCCACCTTCGACTGCATCACCAAATAGCTGCACTGCAACGTTGGCCTCCATACTTTTGGATGGGCCTTCGTGATTACGACGACAGTCGTGCACGGTGGGCTCCCTGTTGTTAGCAACAGCCTCTTGACACACTCTGCATAAGGTATTCCGCGTGGCATAGCTGATCACTTTTCCCGTCATTAGTCCCACTGCAGTTCCCACTCCGGATGAGAAATCATAGCTCTTGCCACGCTTTCTCCATCCCATGTCGTAGGACACGCCCACTGCCACCGGCCTTTCCCCTTGACCGTCATTCGCCGAGAGGTCCCTTTCCATCTCCGTAAACGCGGCACACGACCGCTTGGCCACACTCTCTATGGCACCTCCAGCTTTTCGTTCTCGTTTCTTGAAGTTTCGCGAAGTCAGTGAGGGAAGACGAAGGGCAGACATCAAACCAGAGTACTGTGAATGGCCGATTCCGGTATGCAAGGCCCCGAGACCTTCTCTGGAATTTATGTCAAGAGTCGCTGGCCCCCGTTTGCCAGTTCGGTGGCTCTCGGCAGGGCGGATACTGTTGATGGACCAACAATTACTGCATTTTAGTTTTAAAACAGGTATCAGTCCTTACGGTCGCACGTCTTGGCAACTGTTGGTTAGTTCTAACGGCCCCTTATCACAATATTGACATTTTTCAAGCGCTTCCGTAAGCATTTCCAGGTTGACAATATATTCTTGGCTAGCGTTCCCTATTTTCTTATACGGCGGGTCCGGACGTAAAATAGGTCTCGTGGGCGATGAAACTGACGCCTTGCATCGTTTTTCTGTTGCAGCTAGTTTACTGGCTCTTTTCTTTTCACATTTGTCCTCATATTGTCTCCTCTTCTTTCTTTTTATCTCACAACTCTCTCTTGATGCACTCTCTGGGGGACTCTCCTGATGGAAAAATACAAAGTCCGCGGTATTAGGACGTCCTATCATGATGTCATGATGTCTTAAAATAATGGACACTTACGAACCTGAAGCACAATCTCTTCTCCGTGAACCTCCTTTCTCACTCGAATAGCATTCAACACCCCGGCCATTTTCTTTCTAGAGTTTTTAATTCTCGGCATAATGCACACTCAGCTGGTTGGAGACGTTGCGTGACGGGAATCCCTTCTATTTTTTCATTCTAATTGTCATATCTCGGTGAGCATTCGGAAGTAAGCCAAGGGTGGTCATTGCACGCGTGCTGAACAAAAATGCTGTATAATGACAGACTAGAAACAATAGACAACTCCCAAAGCACAAACTCAGCCAAAACGCTGAAAATGTTCAATGTTTACTCAAGTTTGGGCTTATAGAAGATAATGTCACAGTTTTTCAATGACCATGAAATTCATAGTCCGGGTAGTTATTTAATCAATTGTGGCCCTGAAAAAATTTGAAAAAAAAACTACGAATTTTTAAGAAAATGCTTTTTTCGTGAGAAGGACTCTTAAACGCTGACAAACGTCAACAAATAGAGAAAACTATAATTTGTATATGTTTGCATTGCTCGAAATCGCGCACATTTACAAGGCCCTAAAGCTTTTTGCTGACTTGCAAGGACCCATCTGTTATAACGATCCCCAAAATAAAGGGATCAGTCTCATAGTTTATTAGATATAATCGTGTAAAGTTTGCTTATCATTTTCGCATAAATTATGACCTCAATTTTGCAACCGCTGAATTTCTCGAATTGGGTCTTTGCGATTTTGGTGAAACTCTGTCCAGCGCAAGGCACTACTGTGCACTATGTGTAGCCGAGAGATTTTCACGAAAAAACGCCGGCAACAGCAGATTTTTGACTCAGACCTCAAAGGGGCGTGGCATTATAACCACGTGACATTTACTCCGATCGCCAAACATTTTATGTTGTATTGTAGATTGATCTATATGTTATCCAATCTATGTGTTAGACTTACGATAAAAGTAAAGGTGGGGATACCAGAGAGCTTCAAAGTAGGATGATACCCCGCAAAAAACTGGGTCGAGCCACTTTATGAGCACTGCCTTACTATCACTGTTTCTCTCTCTCTTCGGGGGGACTTATCAAGAGAGACGACTGGGATGTTCAAGACCAGTTTGACTTGTTGCTCTTACATATTTTGTTAATAAACACGTTCATTTTATCCTATTGTTGCCTCTGTTAATATTAGTACTAATGTAAAGCTCACTATGGCCGGTGTGGTTATGGCGCCCAATGGCCTTATGGGTTGTATTAATTATTTGGTTTGATGCTTTCCTTTTTAGGAAATGCTTTAAAAATCGCTTTGTTTTATATTATTATCTATGCCAGAGCAATAGGCCACTTTCGATATATTAAAATTCAGCATGACAGCGAGTCTTAGAGGACACAAACAAAGAAATGAATTAACATGAATAATAAGAGTTATTAAACAAATAAACAACAATTTATCCTGGTCTTTACTTTGATAGATTATAGATCTTAACCAATAAGCGCAGAAGAAGTCGTAAACTACTGTTGAAGTGATTTTGACAGTTGTCTTCAGCATGGCACGGCGGCCTTCATAGACAATAAGGACTTTGAGCAGTGACAACAAGAAAGGCAACGGCAATGGAGAGCCCTCAGGGTATACACAAAGCACGAAAGGCGATGTCAGTGCAAGGAAAAAACGTCTACTGTTCCCGTCACGTCGCAAAGTGAGAATTGGTATTTTGCCGTTGTGACAAAACGTGAGTACTGAACTTTAGTTTTCCTTTGGTATTTTTGCAAAATTCTTATAAATTTGGCATTAGATAGCTTCTAGGAAAAGTAAAGTACTTTGAACGTTTTTGGCCTGATAACAAAGACTTGAGATTTTCACATGTTTAACTGCATGAGAGAAAAACACTTGACATGTGTGAATAAAGGCTGAGGCGAGGCTGGTAAAGCTACTTTACTTCACTTCAGTTATTTTACACAGAAGCATATGCTTCTGTTTTACATTAAAGCTTATTTTTCATTACTGCTCCGTTTGTTCCGCTATCTCGACTATCACGTACATGTTCCAAAAACAACAACCGCATTCAGGTTCTTTTTGAATTGATGTTATCTCCCCAGTCTCTTTCACGGTGGCCGTTGCCGTTGCCGTTGTCGGTGCTTGAAGTCCTTATTTCTTTACGCACAATCCTAGGAGTGAACTACATGGCTAAAAACTTTGGCTTTCCGTCCAGAGTTTATAAGACCAAAATCCATAATTTACATCCCTAAGCGAGAAAACGCTCATCCCGTATCTTTTTTTATGGGAGTCACTGCCAACAACACTGAAGTCACTGTCAGCAACTCAATATTGTACGCTGACCTGTTTACCGTGTTTTTGGATAAATTAATGTACAGTTCTCCATAGGCAGTGGATGAAACAATGAAATTAATTTTGACTTTTACCGCTACCCAATCTTCAGTAAAAGCTGCGTGTAATTTTTCAATGTAGGTCGGAAGATTCTCGCCCCAACATCCGGGCTATAGTTTAAATGAATTGATACTGTTTTCACATGATAAAAATAACATAGCATGTAAATTCTAGATTCATTCTACATGTATATAGACTAGACTTTGGAACTTATCACAGTTATCTGAGCTGTGATTACAGTCTGCTCATAAATATTTATTGCTGCTTTGGAAACTTAAAAAGGGCCATAAGCAATCCGCATGCAAAAAGCGCCCACATAAATCGAATGGCATCTAGGGTTCGAACGATTGATCGGAGATAAGTTATAGCTCTGTATGGACGCCCTGATGGACGTTCAGGCCATGGTTCGTCCTAAATAAAAGAAAATTTAAAGTATTAATTACAAATAAGTACAGGTAAATAGTCATGGGTAAAATTCTGAGTCATCATGGCGAATGAGATAACTTTCGAGTCTGTGAATGAAATCCTTAGGTATCGCAGTAAAAGACGCAACTCATGCAGTTGTTATGCTGTTCAAGGTGGTTTCAACTTTTGAGTCTGTGGAAGAAATCCTATGGTAATGGGGTGACCATTCAATGACACCTACTAAGCAGTACTTTTCTGCGGTACGTGGTACTACTTACTATGCTCTTCACGGTGCTTCTAACTCTTGAATCTGAGGATGAGACCCTAAATTTTGACCAATCAAATAAAAGCTACTGTGCAGAGCAGTACTTTCCTGTGGTACTGTTTATTATGCTGCATAAGGAGGTTCTAGCGTTTGAGTCTGAGAATGAAATCCTAAATTGTGTCCGTTGTAATAAAAGGTACTAACCAGTACTTTCCTGTCGTGCTGTTTACTATGCTGTACAAGGTGGTTCTAACTTTTGAGTGTGTGGATGAAATCCTAAAGTGTGACCATTCAAATGAAAACTACTGAGGGGCTCAGTACTTTCCTGTGGTGCTGTTTACTATGCTTTACAAGGTGGTTCTAACTTTTGAGTCTAGGGATGAAATTCATTCCGTTCATTTTTAAATCCGAAGACAATACAGACAATAGAGACCTTAGCCAGACCATATTGATTGAGCCAGGTGATCAGTGATGGTTCATCGACAGTCAGGATGGGTAAGTAGTCTCTCACCGTCTCACGCCACCACCAATGTTTTACCAATCTAAAAGAGAAAACAACATCAGCAAAATATTATAGACTATTTTGTTCTCCACACTTTTCTTTGTATATTCTTATAGTACCAGGGAGGAGTATTTGCTAAAGAGTCAGCACACCTCAACTGAGCATTTCCTTTCTTGTAAGTCATAACCTTGTAAAACAGTTAGTAGTGATAATATAAGGGAAATCTGGGGCATAAAGGGTAAGGTGAAGGCAATGCTAGTAATGCTATTCGGTTAGTAACAGTTTCAGTTTATTTATTTGCCAGAAAAAAAAAATACACAGACATTCAATATAATATAAAAATGATAGTTAAAGAACGAAAGTGACGCAAATTACACAAGTGGAAGAATTGGAGGTATTTTTTTTTGGTGGAAAAACTCAAATTGAAACCGTGGGGGTTTATTACATGAGCTCCCTCCCTAACCCAAGACTATAAATAAAATAAATAGGCGGCGAAATCATATTGAAGTACATGTACAATATATAGGAAACAAAACAAAACACACTAAACGGACAAAAAGCAGCAGAAAAAACAAGAGGCGAATCAGTTAAGGAGAAATGTTTTCAATCTGGGTTTAAAATAAAGATAGTAGCAGCACTTTGTATATTGTGATTTAGTGAAATGAAAACTTTTATGAACCCTTGAAACCTTTTACCAAAAAGTTTTTTATTTGTTTGTGCAGGAAATAAGGAGAAAGTATTTGGATTTCTGATTTTATAGGAATGAACTTGATTTGTCATTAAAGACATTTCTTTGATTACATTGGGAAGCAGGCCTATTTTATAACATTACTTCCACTTTCCAACTTGAAACAGGCAAATTTCAGAGAACTTCAGCATTTGCAAACCTTTAAATATAGGATCGGTCTGAGCATCAAATGGCATTTTGGAAGTGCATTTGTATTTTGCTATCCAAAAGGCATGCAGGAGGGTTCTCCCCTTTCCGGAAGAGATTCCGGTAGCTGGAGCAAAAAAAAATGTTTAAGCAATTTTTTGGCACGTACGTATTATCTGATTATGAACAAGCTTCTAAGATGAAAGAGGAAACATAGACGTTTGATTGGGGAAGTGACAGCTATCCTTTTGTTGTCATTTATACTAACTTGTTATTTTGCAGAATATCAGAGACTGAAGTAATATTTTTAGGCATCTCCGTATAATGGTACTTGTAAAGCTTGGCTCTAATATAGGTAGGAGCTCTCTTAGGAAAAGGGTTCTTAGCTAACAGATCCAATACGTCCTGCTGTCCTTGAAGAAGTCTGTAGACAAGGTGCACAAACCAAGGATTGTACTCATAACTGCCCAGGGCGGCAAACCATATCTGCCAGTCTAAACGAGGCTGATGAGGCGCTGAAATAATGAGATAAGAGAATCGTCTCAGGAGTTTAGTATGTAAAGTATTTTGGACAAAGTGTCAGTTTTGGAAATGTAAAGGACCATTTTTAGGAACAAAACGTTTTCAAGTGTTCCCATTAAAGATACAGGGAAAAGTTGCCAAGGAAGATGCTCGGGTAAAGGGAGCTTTGGAAGTGGAAGTAATTACCTATTGCCCCTGCCCTACCTCTCCATTCTTGTCTACAGAGCTACTCGTTTAAAGACCATGTGACAAAAAGAAGGGAAGGGGACTGAGGACGAGAATGTCATCCCCCTCGTACATTATAACTAAGACGGAAGTTAAGATGAGAAGTACTTAGTTACGTTGGGTGCGGGAGACGGTGGGGACAGCAAAAATTTGTTCATTACTGCGATTTTTGCCCTACTCTTGGCTTCGACGAAAATATGTTCGATACGACCAAAAGCTGCAAATTCAAAACAAACTAACCGCATTTACGACGTGCAGCATGTGAACGCAACTTTGCGTACAAACTGAAACTTTTCGTCCCTAGTGTGAAGAGTCCTTCAAAACAACAACAACAAGAAAAAAACAACCTACCAACTACCGGAGGAGGCTCAGAAACATTTCCTGGTTTATAGTGAAAGTGGTACTCCTAAAAATAATGCAAACACGAATTCTTCTTTTACTTTCCCTTTTTCATTTATTCCTTATTGAACAAGTAGGCATGTCTAAAAACAAACAATGGTTTAATTATTTCTTTCTTTTTACTCTTCAGAAGATACAGAGATTTTTCCTGATCGCCAAAATGACGCTGGTTCACGTGGCGCACTACTTAGTATTGAGAAAACCTTTTACTCGTAGTTGTCCTAGAAACTAAAGGTCCCCATGATAGGGTCGGTAGGGCAATTAAATATAGAGGCTCTTACACGCCGACGGCGAATTCCATACTTACCATCCATGGGCCATCAATATTATTACTGCCTTCTATGATTACCTCTGGTCGGCCACCAACACCAGTCATACTAAACAAGGAGGAGAATGTACTTCAAAAGCTAATTCTATTGAGCCGTATAATTTCTAATTAGCAAGTTTAGTCCTTGTTGCGTAGATATGATGCGTGCAATTATTTTTCATTGTGAACAATTGACAAATAAAACTTGCTAAAGTATAACATGCAGCGTTAGTTCTATTTTATTTTATTTCTAATGGACAACTCTACACTGATCACCACCAGAAGTGAGTAACGCATCGAACGCAGTTTTGAGCGTCTGGGACTAATCCTTCCGGGTGAACGCTCAAATGAAAACCACCTAACTATACTCTCCTGTGGTACACCGGGAGGGGGGGATTTGGTAATACAAATTTAGAAATTAACCCAGTTATTCCCGAAAGCGGCCAAAAATACTGGAAAACCAATTCTACCATGAGAAAGTACTGTTTTTGTTTGAATGGTAACACCATAGGAATTTTTCATAGACTCAAAAGTTAGAAAGACCAGTTACCAGACCGCTTCATTAATCCCGGGAGTCATGAAAGAATTAAAATATTCACCTTCTAAATAAGCCATACGAGTTCACAAGTTCAAAAGCATCTGTCTTCTGTCTCCATCTGTGAATCACCGGCCACAAGTTGCTTTTTGCCTTGTGACTAATATCTGTGTAAGGCACCTACCACAGACCAAAACATTACTTAGTTTTGTAGCCTGAGAGTAGATCTCTAAGGTGAAGAGAGGTGGGGGAGGAGGAGGAGAAGGAGGAGGAGGAGGAGGAGGAGAAGTACGCTGTAGAAGGAAAAAGAAAAAGGGAAAAGCGACGTCCGTATCTCTCTCGCCATCATCGGCGGCGGGAACGACTTCGTACATGATAAAAATCATGCCAGAAAGAAACATCTGCCGGCAGTAACGATCCAGGGAGATAATTATAAATGATAGAATTCTGTTGTTATAAGGTATTTATTCTTACCAAGCTTATGGCAAACATTCCAAGCGTTGCAAAACTAAATACTGCCCATTGAAGTAACGACCATAATTTCTTAAACACACCTTTTTCCATGACACACCTGCAAATGATATTTAGGCCTGTTATAACAGAATGATAAAACTTACGATAAATCGACGAGTGTACTCTTTAACCCCTGTTAAGCACAATTTGAAGACATCTCGTTTTAAGAATATGTATTTGGAGCTTCGCTAACTTTATTGAGCCTTAACACAGAGTTCCAGATATGTTAACCCAAAATGACCATCCAACAGTCTATAAGGGGAAATAAAATTAGCCATCGACTAAAATTCTAACTCGGGAAAATCGTTAACCAACAGCTTTCGAGTAACTGTTACTTTACAAAAAATAGGACTGCAAGGCGTTCATGTGGCGAATGCTGTATACTCCAATGGTGAATGGAGTACGGGATCCCTCTATAAGGTACAAGAGGTACCTTTGAAATTTTGGTCGCAATACAAACCGTGTCGATGCCAAGAGCTCGTCATGAAAAAGCCGCTACGCTTCTCTTTCTAAACTGAGTGAGATCATTGAGTGAAGAACTGAAGAAAAACGTAAAGCCTACCCTACAAATGATACAATAATTTCCACTCCCAAAGATGTAGTGCCGATCCATATTGTGATGGGAACAGCCTGATCCACTGCTTTGAAGAATGTCCTCTGTGAGAAAGCTGGCGACATTAAACCAAAAAACAATAATAAAAAAGAAATATTACCGAGACAGTCTAGGTTTCAAAATAACAATTTGGGAAGTAACAAAACAAAAAATTTCGGCCTTTCGGGCCTCAATAGAGTACTAAAGTGATGACGTCATAAAAATGAAATTTCTGAAATTATGGGATTTGTCAGGATATTCTGAAAGAACAATGTCCAATAGGCCTACTTGCCAAAAATGAGCATTTGGGGGCAAATTGTCTCTGAGATCGTAGCCCAGTTATACTCAGAAAACTCCATACAAACCCTTCTAATTTTTTTTTTGGTCGACCCAAAAAAAATTTAGAAGGGTTTGTATGGAGTTTTGTAAGCATAACTGGGCTACGATCTCAGAGACAATTTGCCCCCAAATGCTCATTTTCGGCAAGTAGGCCTATTGGACATTGTTCTTTCAGAATATCCTGACAAATCCCATAATTTCAGAAATTTCATTTTTATGACGTCACACTTTAGTACTCTATTTGGTCTAAAAATAAGGGGAGGGGATCAGCCCCTCCTGGCTTCTCCCCTGGATCCGCCACTGGGTTATCAGAGACGGAGAAAAATAGAGAAATGTTTTGACTGAATGATAAAACCCATTGCAAAAACAGCTAATTATAAAACGGCAGTGTTAGCTCCGTACATAGAACGCTGGACTGCAAACGGCTCGGACTATCACGTAGAAATGGCGGCCCGAAGTGGCCCCGTATCCAGCGGCAGAATCAAACAGTGCCGTAAATAAGTATTTAGTTACTTAAATGGTATATGGCACTTAAAGAAGGTTAGGATGTTCGAATTATTTATACAAATGAGTACGTACTTATCTTGGACTTTAAAACTTCAGTAGAAGAGAGCTCTAAAGCAAACAGCTTGACTGTCCAATAAATTACAGCTGTTATTGTTCCAAGAACCACGATTCTTGTTATTAATTTGGCCAAAGTACTTCTTTGTGTTGGTCTGACAGTTTGTCCTCTTACTAAAGAGATAAAAAATTAAATACAGTTGAACCTCCATGTGGGACCACCTCTCATACAGAAGGGTACCCCACAGGGAACTAAAATGTAACACCCCCCCACGGGCATTTTTGTTTGATTTTTGGCAACATAGCTATTCTTACTAACTCGAGTAATCATTGTCGCCAAGCTTAATTTTTGTATGAAGATGGTATCTTAGGGCATTTTATTATGACGTTGTTGTCCAAATAAGGAGTTTTCCTTTAACAATTTAAAGTTTACTATAACCAGTAACGCTTTGAATTTGTGATAAGTGTACTGTAAAGATAATCAAGAAAATTTCTGACAGTTTTTACGCTGTTTCTGCGGATATTAAGCCAACAAATCGTGATAAAATTCATCGTTCAGCTAATAAGACACACAACTTTTTAGCTTCACTAACTGGATCTGTCTGTTTTTGGGACCATAAGGTTATTCAGTTCAGCAGAACCAAGGTTCGGTTACTTATCGCTGCTGAAAATAAGCCCAGTGAGCGGCTGAAATTGAGCGTAGAGTCTCCCTCATCTCAGGCAATACACCGATGCCTCTCCACCCTCTGTGAGGGAAGTGAGGACATTTGTAAAACCAAGCAGTTGCATTAGGGGGTGGGGGGGCGTGGTTTCCTTACCAAGCCACGATGGTAGAATCGTGACCAAATGCTCATCATCGAGAATTGGTAACAACAGCGCAATCGCCAGAAGATTGAAGAAATTATAGTTACCAGTGAGAATAATTAGAACTTGGAAGAATATCTAATGGAGAAACAAAGAAAGAAGCTTAAATAAAACAACCAAAATTAACCATCAACTTGTAACACTTAATGTAAATGTACATGTGTATCTACAGTTGTCAGCTTGTAATCATTGCAATTTGGTCACTACCAGTGTAAGTCCCATGTGCACGTTTATTATTATTATTAACTTTTTTTTTCCTGCTGCTGTGACTACCGGTACATTGTACATCAGACATGTACATGTAAACTGTAGATGACCTTTAGTTAATATTTCATTAGTACAGGAACTATACGCACTTTGCACACACAACTTGAGACCAAGTTTCAATATCAGCAAGTGTTTTTCACTTAATTGCTACGAGGTGCATTTAGATCGAAAGATATCTGTAGCTAGTAACAAGGTGCAACAGCAAGGCTTGTTACGTAGCAGGCAAAACAGAGTACATCTTACAGCATGCTCAAAATAAAGACAGCACCATCTAATAACTGAGCCCATAAACAGCAATTTTCCTCCACCATTCAATCTGCCAAGAATTTTTGAAAGCCGAACAAAATGTATCAACACTAAAGAATTCTTAGAGTACCACCCTCACTGCTAGAGTCTACCCTACTCTAGACTAAGTACTCAGTTCCACCTGACTCTAAACCACATTGTACTGTTGTACATTAACTTTACTGGCCCTTAATTTCCTTAAAAACAGGCAAAATTATTTTTTTTATATGAGTCAAACTTAAAATAGCAAAATCACCTGGGCATAAAATGAAAATATCCTCAAGGATCGAACAGGAATGAAAAATAGCCATGATAATGCAATTAAAATGACATACCTGGAAGAAAATACAAAGCATTAATAAAAAACAAGAAAAAAGAAAGAAGTACAATGGAACAATGTTAATATGAGCACCATTGGGCCATGAAATCCTGGCCACAGGAGATTTGGTCATCTGAATAATTTTTGGCAGNTTACAGCTGTTATTGTTCCAAGAACCACGATTCTTGTTATTAATTTGGCCAAAGTACTTCTTTGTGTTGGTCTGACAGTTTGTCCTCTTACTAAAGAGATAAAAAATTAAATACAGTTGAACCTCCATGTGAGACCACCTCTCATACAGAAGGGTACCCCACAGGGAACTAAAATGTAACACCCACGGGCATTTTTTTGGATTTTTGGCAACATAGCTATTCTTACTAACTCGCGTACGCTGAAATCATTGTCGCCAAGCTTAATTGTTGTATGAAGATGGTATCTTGGGGCATTTTATTATGACGTTGTTGTCCAAATAAGGAGTTTTCCTCTAACAATTTAAAGTTTACTATAACCAGAAACGCTTTGAATTTGTGATAAGTGTACTGTAAAGATAATCAAGAAAATTTCTGACAGCCGACAAATCGCGATAAAATTCATCGTTCAGCTAATAAGACACACAACTTTTTAGCTTCACTAACTGGATCTGTCTCTTTTTGGGACCATAAGGTTATTTAGTTCAGCAGAACCAAGGTTCAGTTACTTGTCGCTGCTGAAAATAAGCCCAGTGAGCGGCTGAAATTGAGTGTAGAGTCTCCCTCATCTCAGGCAATACACCGATGCCTCTCCACCCTCTGTGAGGGAAGTGAGGACATTTGTAAAACCAAGCAGTTGCATTAGGGGGTGGGGGGAGGGGGGGCGTGGTTTCCTTACCAAGCCATGATGGTAGAATCGTGACCAAATGCTCATCATCGAGAATTGGTAACAACAGCGCAATCGCCAGAAGATTGAAGAAATTATAGTTACCAGTGAGAATAATTAGAACTTGGAAGAATATCTAATGAAGAAAAAAAGAAAGAAGCTTTAATAAAACAACCAAAATAAACCATCAACTTGTAACACTTAATGTACATGTACATGTGTACCCTACAGTTGTCAGCTTGTAATCATTGCAATTTGGTAACTACCAATGTAAGTCCCATGTGCACGTTTATTATTATTATTAACTTTTTTTTTTCTGCCTGCTGTGACTACCGGTACATTGTACATCAGACACGTATATGTAAACTGTAGATGACCTTTAGTTAATATTTCATTAGTACAGGAACTATAAGCACTTTGCACACACAACTTGAGACCAAGATATCTGTAGCTAGTAACAAGGTGCAACAGCAAGGCTTGTTCATAGCGGGCAAACCAGAGTACATCTTGCAGCATGCTCAAAATAAAGACAGCACCATCTAATAACTGAGCCAATAAACAGCAATTTTCCTCCACCATTCAATCTGCCAAGAATTTTTTGAAAGCCCAACACAATGTATCAACACTAAAGAATTCTTAGAGTACCACCCTCACTGCTAGAGTCTACCCTACTCTAGACTAAGTACTCAGTTCCACCTGACTCTAAACCACATTGTACTGTTGTACATTAACTTTTCCTTAAAACCAGGCAAAATTATTTTTTAATATGAGTCAAACTTAAAATAGCAAAATCACCTGGGCATAAAATGAAAATATCCTCAAGGATCGAACAGGAATGAAAAATAGCCATGATAATGCAATTAAAATGACATACCTGGAAGAAAATACAAAGCATATGCCAGAAAGAAACATCTGCCGGCAGTAACGATCCAGGGAGATAATTATAAATGATAGAATTCTGTTGTTATAAGGTATTTATTCTTACCAAGCTTATGGCAAACATTCCAAGCGTTGCAAAACTAAATACCGCCCATTGAAGTAACGACCATAATTTCTTAAACACACCTTTTTCCATGACACACCTGCAAATGATATTTAGGCCTGTTATAACAGAATGATAAAACTTAAGATAAATCGACGAGTGTACTCTTTAACCCCTGTTGAGCACAATTTGAAGACATCTCGTTTTAAGAATATGTATTTGGAGCTTCGATAACTTTATTGAGCCTTAACACAGATTTCCAGATATGTTAACCCAAATGACTATCCAACAATCTATAAGGGGGAATAAAATTAGCCATCGACTAAAATTCTAACTCGGGAAAATCGTTAACCCACAGCTTTCGAGCAACTGTTACTTTACAAAAAATAGGACTGCAAGGCGTTCATGTGGCGAGTGCTGTATACTCCAATGGTGAATGGAGTACGGGATCCCTCTATAATGTATAAGAGGTACCTTTAAAATTTCGGTCACGATACAAACCGTGTCGATGCCAAGAGCTCGTCATGAAAAAGCCGCTACGCTTCTCTTTCTAAACTGAGTGAGATCACTGAGTGAAGAACTGACGAAAAACGTAAAGTTTACCCTACAAATGATACAATAATTTCTACTCCCAAAGATGTAGTGCCGATCCATATTGTGATGGGAACAGCCTGATCCACTGCTTTGAAGAATGTCCTCTGTGAGAAAGCTGGCAACAATAAACCAAAAAACTAAAATAAACAAAGAAATATTACCGAGACAGTCTAGGTTTGAAAATAACAATTTGGTAAGTAAAAAAAAACAAAACATTTTTTCGGCCCTTCGGGCCTCAATTTGGTCTAAAAATAAGGGGAGGGGCTCGGCCCCTCCTGGCTTCTCCCCTGGATCCGCCACTGGGTTATCAGAGACGGAAAAAATAGAGAAATGTTTTGACTGAATGATAAAACCCATTGCAAAAACAGCTAATTTTTAGACGGCAGTGTTAGCTTCGTACATAGAACGCTGGACTGCAAACGGCTAGATCTTAATGTGGCTCGGATTATCACATAGAAATGGCGGCCCCAAATGGCCCCGTATCCAGTGGCAGAATAAAACAGTGTCGTAAATAGGTATTTAGTTACTTAAATGGTATATGGCACTTAAAGAAGGTTAGGATGTTCGAATTATTTATACAAATTAGTACGTACTTATCTTGGACTTTAAAACTTCAGTAGAAGAGAGCTCTAAAGCAAACAGCTGGACTGTCCAATAAATTACAGCTGTTATTGTTCCAAGAACCACGATTCTTGTTATTAATTTGGCCAAAGTACTTCTTTGTGTTGGTCTGACAGTTTGTCCTCTTACTAAAGAGATAAAAAATTAAATACAGTTGAACCTCCATGTGAGACCACCTCTCATACAGAAGGGTACCCCACAGGGAACTAAAATGTAACACCCACGGGCATTTTTTTGGATTTTTGGCAACATAGCTATTCTTACTAACTCGCGTACGCTGAAATCATTGTCGCCAAGCTTAATTGTTGTATGAAGATGGTATCTTGGGGCATTTTATTATGACGTTGTTGTCCAAATAAGGAGTTTTCCTCTAACAATTTAAAGTTTACTATAACCAGAAACGCTTTGAATTTGTGATAAGTGTACTGTAAAGATAATCAAGAAAATTTCTGACAGCCGACAAATCGCGATAAAATTCATCGTTCAGCTAATAAGACACACAACTTTTTAGCTTCACTAACTGGATCTGTCTCTTTTTGGGACCATAAGGTTATTTAGTTCAGCAGAACCAAGGTTCAGTTACTTGTCGCTGCTGAAAATAAGCCCAGTGAGCGGCTGAAATTGAGTGTAGAGTCTCCCTCATCTCAGGCAATACACCGATGCCTCTCCACCCTCTGTGAGGGAAGTGAGGACATTTGTAAAACCAAGCAGTTGCATTAGGGGGTGGGGGGAGGGGGGGCGTGGTTTCCTTACCAAGCCATGATGGTAGAATCGTGACCAAATGCTCATCATCGAGAATTGGTAACAACAGCGCAATCGCCAGAAGATTGAAGAAATTATAGTTACCAGTGAGAATAATTAGAACTTGGAAGAATATCTAATGAAGAAAAAAAGAAAGAAGCTTTAATAAAACAACCAAAATAAACCATCAACTTGTAACACTTAATGTACATGTACATGTGTACCCTACAGTTGTCAGCTTGTAATCATTGCAATTTGGTAACTACCAATGTAAGTCCCATGTGCACGTTTATTATTATTATTAACTTTTTTTTTTCTGCCTGCTGTGACTACCGGTACATTGTACATCAGACACGTATATGTAAACTGTAGATGACCTTTAGTTAATATTTCATTAGTACAGGAACTATAAGCACTTTGCACACACAACTTGAGACCAAGATATCTGTAGCTAGTAACAAGGTGCAACAGCAAGGCTTGTTCATAGCGGGCAAACCAGAGTACATCTTGCAGCATGCTCAAAATAAAGACAGCACCATCTAATAACTGAGCCAATAAACAGCAATTTTCCTCCACCATTCAATCTGCCAAGAATTTTTTGAAAGCCCAACACAATGTATCAACACTAAAGAATTCTTAGAGTACCACCCTCACTGCTAGAGTCTACCCTACTCTAGACTAAGTACTCAGTTCCACCTGACTCTAAACCACATTGTACTGTTGTACATTAACTTTTCCTTAAAACCAGGCAAAATTATTTTTTAATATGAGTCAAACTTAAAATAGCAAAATCACCTGGGCATAAAATGAAAATATCCTCAAGGATCGAACAGGAATGAAAAATAGCCATGATAATGCAATTAAAATGACATACCTGGAAGAAAATACAAAGCATTAATAAAAAACAAGAAAAAAGAAAGAAGTACAATGGAACAATGTTAATATGAGCACCATTGGGCCATGAAATCCTGGCCACAGGAGATTTGGTCATCTGAATAATTTTTGGCAGTAGTTATGCAAGGTTCCAATATTACATATACATGCACTTGTAAACAGAGATTAGTAGACAGCAACCAGCATACTGTCATGAATCTACAGTCTGATTGGTTGACATTCTCACTATCTATTATGTTATTGATGAGTAGCACACTGGTGTTTTGAACAAACCCAAAACAATAACAACTAGAAAAAACAATTTTCACAATGTTTCAGTCAAGGAAGAAGTAGATAAATCATAATTATTATTAAAAATTAATATTTAATTATTATCCCAGAAAAAAAAGAAAAACTTTATAATAAGCAGCCACAAAAGCACTGGAATTGAAATTTAGTATTTGTTTTTTTGGATAATATATTTTAATTTTTAATATTTAATGAATTCGCCTTATTGTATAAAAAAGACTTTTTTACATTATATTACATGTTCAAAATTTTGCACAGATCAAATGCACTATGAAGACTGTTGACTTCTAGAACACTAGAACTAATAGTCTAAATAAAATAAAATATCTAATTGTTGGTTAATTCATTGTTATAACTGAGTCGACTCGATAACACCAAACCTTCTAGGGAAATAGAAAAAGTTTGAGTTATCGGGAGTTCAAAGCAGATAACAGGGAATAAGAAATATAAGCAAATGGATGGGGGGGAAATGCAACTATTATGCACACCTCACTTCAAGGGCAGTAAGAGATATAGACTAATATTATTTTTGTAAAAGGACTTTTAAAGCAACAATTTGATTAATATACTGAGATAGACACTGAATTTGATCTGGAGTGACAAAAAAGGAAAAACAAAGAATATTATAATGAAGAATTATTGTTTCGATTGTTTTTTCAATCAATGTTTTGGACTTCAGTACTCTGTTTTCTTTTTCTTTTTTTTTCCCGACGTATCACATGCTTAAAATGTGCATATGATTCGAGATATCAAGGGTAGAATTATATAGGAATGATCCGAAGGGAAAAAAATACCGTGAGTTTAATAGCGGGGCATTCGAGTTACCGAGAATGAAATTACAGTAAATGTATGAGAAAAATCCAGTACGAGGTTCGAGTTAGCGAGGGTTCAAGTCATTCAGAATCAAATGTTTAATATTACAAAACTAATTACCACAATTTTTATAATGCTAAATACCGTGTGTAACTTACTCACGTTAGAACTACACTTAGCCTCTGAAACCATTTTGGGAGCTGATGTGCATACCAAGCCAGTGGGGTGGGGATACACTACAACAAATAAAACTGACTCATGCATTAGTCAGTCTTTGAGAAATCAGTAATTAAAAAAGTTGACTTACAGTACCGCTCAAACACAAGTTGATGATTTCGACTCACTCCTCAAAACTTGATTACCTGTCTTGATTCTTAATATGTTTGAGTTTCGAGATGCAAGAATTGGGTCTCAAGAGACGAGAGTGTCTGTCACCTTTTTTGAAGCGGTACTGTGCATGTACATGTAATGTCCCACTATTAACAAGAATAACATAAATTTTTTTCCCAAATAAATGCGTGCAATCAAACTTTTCCAGAGCTGTATGCACACTAGTTGTACCTGTGATTCATAGTGCCAATCAAGTGCGGTTAATCCCCACCATGTAGGACATCGACTTGACAGCTTGACAATTCCAGAACAGAACATCAGTCTAAAAGCAAGCCACTTTACTAACCACAGAGTTATGTTGTCATGATGTCTCTGAAACCTGATCCAGCAAGTGACGGTCAAGGGGTGATTCACTGACAACAAGAAAATTAATAGGCCATTTCCGAGTTCCAAAAACTCTCACTTTCAAATGAGGCTAAGTGAAAAACCTTTCTTGTGAAAATGAGTTATATTTGCATGAGAATAAAAAAATCATTTTCATATCAAAAGCTGAGCACTTAGGCTCACTTTAAAACAGAGGATTGGGGCAGCTTGCAAATGGCCTACTCTCGGTAGGTAGATGACTCAGTGATACAAAGATGATAACAACCCAGGGTTTTAGCAGGAACTGCGTTCATTGACAGCAGTTTTCTTAGTCTAAAGTTGTTTCAGTAGTTTGTATTATATGTTTTCATTATTGTTATATCAATATCCTTATGATTCCAGTCTGTTGATGACCTGGGATCTATAGGGAATGTATACATATATAGTGATCAATACTCTTGGGATGACACTCTGGGAATGATACCCTTGGGACGATGCCCAGGGAACAAACCTTATTAGGATACCATAGGATAGATACCATGGGAAAGAGACCTTAATGGTGATAATCCTTGGAACCACACCCTGCTAGCTACAGATCATACATGTTGAGCTAAGAAATGACACAATCAGGTTGGTAGATATATATCATTGGGTAACACCCTAAGCTAGATGATATCCTTAAAATGACTCTGTCAGTTGGCAATGACACAGTGTAGTCCTTACTAATGATGCCCTTAGACAGTATCCTTCTGGTATCAAGTGGCCAGCTGTGAACCGACCTTCCAGTTGGGGTAGGCGTGAAATCAGGTAGAGTTCAGAAATGCCTGCAGGCAAACATTATTGCAGCCTCAAAATTTTTGAGGCTGCAATAGCACATCAACCTGCTGCTGTGCAGCAGACAATATGGTGCAAACTCCTTTTGGTTAGATAAATTGTTTATAAGCACTGGAGCTTATACATGTACTGCTCCTGAGGCTAGTACAGGGATTTTGCAAAGGTCAAGCAATTATAAGATGTTTGTGATCTGTGAAAAGAAGAGTAGCAGCCCCCACATGATTACTTGCTAAAGTTCTCAATGATGTCTTCTTTATCTGGAAGCCCGGAACAGGGTATAAACATTACAATTGACTATCTTGACTATCTGGAGGAGTAATAGACCACAAGTTTCAATATATTAAAATTCATACTTGGCTATGAGGCTTTAGGGAATAAAACAAAAGAAATGTAATATAACTATTGATTCAGCAGGGCTATAAAAAGCGAAGCTCTTGCTAACTATACTTATAATCCACTCACACCAAAATAAAATCGTATAATGATGAATGCAAAGGCAACGAAAACGGCAAAAAAAAAAAACAGCGATAGGTATAATTAGCATAAAAAACAACTTTGCATGTGAACACACTTTTTTGTACATTTCTTTGCAGTTGTTGTTGCAAGACTACAACATGATACTTTCTAGTTACACGTTTTATGAAGGAGATGTTGTACAGTTGTATGAATCTCACAAACATAATTGAAACTTCATTGTTCCTGTTTGCTTTCTTTTTCACTGCCGCTCATTTTTACCTTACTGGCCACTAACATTTCTCATTTTCTCACCAGCATGTAAAAATCTCATGTTTTTTTTCTAATGAAAATTCGTCTCCTTTGTTTTTTATCCCCTGATCTAGCTCTTAATATTTCTCTGTTATAGACGTCATGCACAATAAAATTTAGTCGAAAAAAGAGACTCGGCTTTGTTGTTGCTTTTTCTCTCTATATGTCGAGGTGGCCAAGATGACCATGCATAGCATGGATGTCTATTATCAAGTAAAAATAACAGAGGTTGCAGGCTCCACACAAAGTAAAAAAGACCATTTCACATTGGTTAGCCTGTGGTGTGAACAGATGGGTGTACAGTCACCTGACTACCAAAATTTCTTGGATGCATGGATGACCAAATTTTCTTACCCGTGGTGCTCCGCTTTTGTTCATTACTAAGCTGCAAGATGATTTAATTTCTTTTGTTTCATTTCCCTAAGCCTCAGAGTCAGGTCTGAATTTCAACATATCAAAATTAGTCTATTCTATTGTTACCATTTGCAGTTTTCCATAAGGATTGTTCAGCTCTTTAAGAAATTCCCAAACACATGACAGGATATGGCAAAGAGCTTTAACTTAGCTCTATTGCAATTTGACAGTCAAAGCTCATTCTTTCAATTGCAACATTTTTGAAGTTGGTATGCACTCCATAGCTCTTTTGACATTATTTTAAAGCTGCATTTTAGTTCCCCTCAACTCCTAGGGGAGCTTTGCTCTCAGGCTACAAAATATACAGAAAAAGGCTCTGTTGATTGATCCACAAGCTTTTCCCCTATACCACTGTTTCTCTTCCCACCCCCTCAAAGTCCAAGTTGGGTTTGGTCCAACATAAATTATTGGAGGGATGCTTGCATGTATACCTGTAATTAGTTCTTGCTTTAAACAAATTCAGAGGAGAAACAAGAATTGTTAAAAATCCTGTCTCCATAAGAAGGATATCCCTGAAAAAAAGAAAGAAATGAAGTTAATAATGTCACCGATCTTAGTGAGTCATTGTTTTACAAGGCTGCACTCTAAGAAAAATTTCACTTGGGCCTGGAGGTGAAAAGCTCAATACCAGTTCTCTAGGGTGCAAAGTGAGCATTTTAGTTTAAATCCATGTATGTTTATAACATGTTGCGCAGGAGCATTGAAATACGAAATTAAAGCAATGTTTGCAATAGTTGATACATGAATGTAATCAACAGTTACTGAATAATGATCTTACCACTGGAAATAAATGAATGTTTGTCCCACCTGAAAATGAAATTAGGTTTCACATTCAATATGTGCGACATTGTTCTCAATATACGCTGGTGATACATTGAGATGTAAAGCTACTGTATAAGTACTATAGTTTATATTATATGCGAAATGAAGTTTAGAATTTGAATACCCCTTCAAGCTAAGTGTGCTGTTGTTGGTTGAATGATTATCATGGTAATTTCTCAAAAAAAATCTTACAAAATTAATAATCAGATTGTCTTGAATTATTAAACAAATTCTCTTCTATATTAAGGATGTTCCTAGAGAGATCTTTGTTTGTTTTTTTTTATATAGAGAGATGGATAAATGGTTAAAGTAAATAATTGTATATATGTACATGACTGTACAATATGCATTTTGTATGAATAAAGTCTATAATTTTAGTAACAAAAAAATTGCAACATGTGTTACAAATACAGACTAGCTGGTATACTACATGCAATCATCTGGTACCTAGAGATTCTTAAGTGAGTGAGTTTTTACCTGATATAAAGAATAATAAAGAAACCAAAGGACAAAGAATGTAACTGAATCTCTCCAGGATCTGAATGACATGGCCAGCATTGAAAGAAGCATTCCCACTAAACAAAGAAGCTCCATGCCAGTCTGAGTGTCCAATCCAAGCTTGGGGGTGAGCCACAGGAGGGTAGGCTTATGCCAGAAGTTTTCTTCTATAGATGAACTCTCTGAATTTACAAAATGCCTATTAATTATTGCATTACATCTGATTGATTTGAATCATCAACAGGCCTGTAACCATTTCTAAATGGTACATCTTAACAAGTTTACCAGAAAAGTCTCACTAATGCCACACATTTCTTCTTCTTGGCTTTCGAGGTGGAACATCCCCGTACTTAACTTCGGTGAGAAACCCCCCCCCCCCCCCCCCCCCCCCCCCTCCCCCCCCCTCTGCCCTTCCCAAGCATTCCCCCAAAAAATTTTACCCCCCTCATACAAAAATTTTTTAAAACAATAAAACCAAGTTTAAAAAATAAAATTTAAAAAAAAAAGTTTCTCGTAAATTTTTCCGTTACTTATCACCTCACCAAGTTGATATATGTAAACAAAAGAAAACGCTTCCATGAAGTTAAATTAACATCGTACCTTCTCTCAGGGCAAGCTTGGCAGGAAGAACACCATTTTTGCCATAAAGACCTGCATTGTTTAGAAGTCATGGTATAAGTTAACGTTTCTATCGATTACCCAATTTAGGTTTATCATGCAAGGAAATGAAATGAAATTGCAGTATTTACCTGGTATCTGTATGTAAAAAGAGGAGAAAGCAAAGAGATAAATCGCGGCAATAAACCATAAAAATGTATTTTGTACGAGAGCTTGCTTTCCGTGAGCTGCCATGTTTGGATTTCCCCCGAGTCCACGGTGATCTTCACCAGTCCCTTCATGTAAACTAATCCATAAACAGGACAAAATATTTTCTTTGTTCTCGAATTTCGATCTAATAGGATGTTTGGCGCCCAATTCGAAATGAAAACAGGAAAGTTTTCAATTGCTTTGAATCTACATTGCAGATAAACATGCCATCAATACACAAAGAAACGTTTTAAGTCTAAAATTACAAGCTTTTGCCCCAGGAAATTCTGAGCAATGTTTATAAGATGACCGCAGTGGCAAAATGTCGAGCGCCTCAACAGGTGGTTCGTCAGGGTTTCCTTTGGTGCATGGCAGCAATTTATTTATTTGCTTTCACCTCGCTATACATACAAATACCAGGTACGTGGACCCTTCCAATGTTTTTGGTATGATGACTTATAACTGTTCTGTACCCACTGATGAGAGGATACAGTGTACATGTCGGTCCGCGAGTTTGTAACTGAGCGATCGCTAGTCAAACGATAACAACAGCAGCGATTAAATATACTCTTCAGATGTTTTTACCTAAAATCTATAAAATGTAAAAATTCAACTTGATCAGTTTCATTTGATAACATTCGTGTAAAAATTACTGTTCAGAGTCATTCAGGATCTTTTACTGGATTTTGATTTTGATCTTTAAGTGTTTACCGTTTAGCTACTACAAATGTTTAACCTTATTGTTACAGGTCTTTATGGTCATGATGGAATTCTTCCTGCTAGTTACATATTGCATGACTGTAAGTTCACCTTACGTTGTTTAATGTCAGCATAATTCTGACCAACACACTTTTTCATACCTTACTTTCTTGAGCAGTGCCTTCTATTGTTTCTTTCAAGACTAACCAGACTTTTGAAGCAGATCAGATATTCCACTGAGACAGGGATAGAAATTTACAGTGATAAATATCGGGATCTCTTTTTAACAACATTTGTCACTGGTTGTAATCGAAATTGTGACTGTTTGTTTGACAATGTGCAACGTACCGCCGGTGTACATTATGTATACTCTATTGTACTCCATTCAATACCTTTCTGGTAATGTAAATTGCTATGCTGTACATTACCTGTACCTACAGTGAACCTTTTTAATATTGCAGTGTCAATATGTACAGATAAGAGTTCCTCTTGTGGCCAGTGGGCAGCAGCCGGAGAATGCAAGAAAAACTATGGATGGATGATTGAGAACTGCATGAAGTCTTGCAACAGTTGCCACAGTAAGACTTATATAACATGAGCATGGAGCTATAAAATAATAATACAGCTGAAATTACAGCTTCATGCTATGATGGATTTGATAGCATTGTTGTATTGGCAGGATAAGAATTCTGTATCTAGTTATCCATAAAATTCAAAGCAGCTTTTAATTATTAGCCTGATACCAGGCACAATTTTTTTTTACTTTCTCTGTTACATAGTCACTAGGATTTTATCTAGGTTGTTGTTCAATTTTATACTTGGTTTAAATTTTATTTTCCTTTGTTTATGAGAATGTTAAGGTATGATGAGTTTAGAACAAAGGGAAATAAAATTTACAAATGTAAACCCAGGATAAAACTGAACCACAACATTCACATGTACTAAGTGAATTTAAAATAGAGCCTGATCTCAAGTTATAGCTTTATTCCCCATCTCTCATAAAAAAGAAACAATACTACAACCTAGAATAGGTGCCTTAGATCACTTTAATGGTAACCTTTGTTTCAAAGCCATCAGTCAATAAATTCAGAATGGAGGATGGCTAAGTGGTTTAGAGGACAAGATTTCCACTTTGAGTCGTCTAGTAACCTCATGTTCAACTACTTCCTCATAGGCTAACCTCTATCCTTTGATGCATTAACCCTTAAATTAAATGAAAATTAAAATATTGAACCCAGTGTAATCTCTATATTTCATACTTGATAATAATAAGCCATTTGCATGATGGCATCATTTTACTACTATGACCAGAATCCTTCAGGGTTTTGCGTTCTCTTGGAAGTTAGAACTTTTGTCATTTAAACCTCACTGGGATTACCAAGTTTAAAATAATATTGAAGGAAAAACGAAAAGGAGTCTGGTCATAGAAGTAAAATGACATCATCGTGCAAATGGCCTGTTGTCAACTTATAACATGACATCCAGAAAAAAACAACAACAACAATAAAAAAGCAGACATGGCTGAACCCTTTTAACACTCTACTGTTGCTACCATGTACAGGTACAGGCACTAATATGTTCACATTTAATTGACCTTTACCATTTTGCTCCATCCAGTCTGCAGTCCTCTTTGCACAATTAGAGATACAGTAATACCAACAAAATCTGTTGACTCTTATTATGCTCTTTTAGTTCTGGACACATCTTTTACTTCACTATTCCAGAAGACACCCACCCTTTTATGGGTGACACCATATCTAGGACTAGACACACCCACTGGAATGGAATTCCTCTGCATACTGGGTATTGTACTGTCTCTTGTTTTCCTTGTGTCACAGAGGTGTAGAGACTGCTTGGGTTTTCTGACGCTGTGGTTTCTTTACTACTCTATGTTACCGGTGAGTTCAGCTAGAGTGATATTGAAATAATGAGAAATCTAAAAACTTCATAACCACTGTTGGAATAAAATCCTACATTTGACAGATGTTTTGTCAAATGCCCATTAGTTTCTAACAAGGTTGCCCAGTCTTTCCTCATTTCAACTTTGTGTCATTAATCTTAATTTGTGATTATACTTACAGTGCAAGTAGATCTGCCTATAATTTTTAAAAATGTTACAATAATTATTGTTTATCAGTTTCCCTATAAAAGCTGACATAATAAGGCACGTTTGAAGAATCAGTTACATTTTAATTCATACGGGAACTTTCAATAAGTATTTGAAATTATACGAAACATAACAGTAGTTACAAGTAAGCTGTTTTGTAATTTTATATAAATCACTGGTGAGTAAGATTTTCAAGTTATTTAGTGCATCCTCTGTAGAACTTTTAAAGATGTTATTTTCATATAATTCATTTCTATATTTTTGTCAGGTTGGCCAGATTTTCATACGCTATCAGTGGTAAGTTGAAGCGAATTTACATGATGGTCATGTTGGAATTTATTTATAGTATAGTACTGATGGTAGGGAAGGTGCGTAAGAAATATAAGACGCGATGCACACGAGGGAGTACGACACGCGTGAGGAGAGAAGGATAGTCTTCCTGCAAGGCCTTTAAGTTTTTTCCGCTCCCTAGGGTGGAAAATTTCCGTTGGCTTAATTCCAGCCTTCCGAGGAAAAAAATCTTGTCGCTTTACAAGATTAACCTGACGTACATTCTTCTCTCTCGCGGTTAGTGTCCTTGCTCTTTAATTTTACGCCTTTTTTTTTTTTCATGTACCTGCCATGCAGGTATGCAGGGAGCTTACATAGAAGGCCCTTGAAAGTAATGGGCACAGGAAAGAAGCCTGCAAGTTATAACCTGTGTATTAGGTGCTTGGGAAGTAATTATGTGATAAAAGAGGGGGCGCTCAACGGAGACACGCCCACGTCCTTCGCGTGCCCGGTTTTTTATCGCATGTTACTCCCAAGCGCCTGCTACACAGGTTATACCTTGCAGGCTAATTGTTTGCCAGATTAATCATCTTCAAGTTGTTATTTCATTTTTTGTGTTACATCAGGGATGCACTATTATGGGAAAGTGGTTTTCTAGCATTCCTGATTGCTCCGTGGAATATTTCTTTCACTCCGTGGAAATTAGGAAAATGCTTCTTCCTGAAGATGAGGCGTGTCAGGTACATAATAGGAAATGAATAAATAAATAAATAAATAACGATAAAAAAAGCAAACAATCACTGACCACTACGTCACTACTGCACTGTAACAGACTGAGCGCAAGACAAAGGACTCTTCCACGAATTCCAAGTGATTTTGATTTGTTTAATGCTAATATTTGTTTTTATTTTTATTTTCACAGGAATATTTCTAGACACCATGACAGTATAATGCTATGGCTTGTGAAGTGGCTGTTGTTCCGGCTCATGTTTGCCTCCGGTGTTGTCAAATTAACCTACATGGATAAAACTTGGTGGAATCTTACTGCTCTAAACTGGCATTATGAATCACAGGTCAGGTGGAAAAGAAAGTACAGTACATGGCGAGTTGAGTGCCTGCGTAACTAGTGGTTTTGTCTGGCGGGCGCGCAAATAAGCGGCGAAGCTGCGAAAGCGCGCGAACGAACAGTGGGTTTTTCCAGCCCAGTCCCTAGGCGTTCTCTCTTGATCCCGTGACGTCACAGCTCATGGTAGGGTCCAGGAATGACCGAGCCGAAAACGCCTGGGGACTAGGCTGGGGTTTTTCATTTTCGTTCCTATGAGCGCTTTCCATTCAACCGAAACGTCCGGTTTGAATTTTCGGCAACTAGCAGGCGCAAATGCAACAGCACTTTTTTAAATTTCCAAAAACAGGACAACCTTGCAAGGTATGCCCAAATTTTCGAAAAAAATTTCCCGCAAGTTTTCTTTCTTTTCAACTTGCTTCCGGAAAAGCTAGAACTTTCGGTTAAATGGTTCGCATTTAGGAAATTCAACAGTTTCCAGAATTTCTGGAAACTTTTCCGGGAAATTTCTGTACCATTTTCCGCCGTTTCCAAGTTTTCGAAAAGTTTTGGTTTCATGGAAAGCGCCCTATGTCGCCTTGTAGGTATCACAACAACGTCAAATGATCAAAAAGAAGGTTCCTTTTTCTGTCACAGAGAGTTCATGATGTTTTTTTCTATCTGAATGTGTAAAAAAAGTCAACGCATGAAAGAATTAGCTACGTATGGTAAAGTTAACAATGAAGAAGAATTGCAGATTAATATAAAAGAGCAATTCTTCTTTCCGATTCAGTTGAATTAACATATATTTCAGAAACAACAGCAGACTGCAAGCATGAATCTCTTTTATTGTTGAACCTCTTTGCGGTCGTTATAGAAGTATGATGAAGGAAATTGCAGCCCGATATAGGTGTCTGATTGTGGACCAGCCATGTCGCTCCCGTCGCGTATTTGTTTCAAGATAAATGTTTCTGTTTAATATTATGCTTATTTATTAGGAACCTCTATTGAGCGGCCAACCACCATTAAGTGGCGACTTGTCGGTAGAGGTTCAGCTTTATTTGTTATTTGTTATCATTGCTGTTTCAGTGTATCCCTACACCTGTGGCCTGGTATTTTCAGAAGCTTCCCTCTTCCTTTCATCGACTCAGCGTTGTTTTCACGTAAGTAGGAAAACGAAATGGTAAATAGAAAGTTACTGTTGCTACTGCGCTTTGTTTCCATTTATTTAATTTAGTGTTAAACGTGCGGTATATGAAGATCATGCACTACGAAAAACATTTCCTGCCGGTTATTTAAGCGAAGTGAGACTAGATGTACGTTGAGCGAGACCTCGTTCGAAACCAATTTTTGGGAACTTATGCAGCGACGCGACGATTATGAAACGTAAAAAGGCAGAAGTTGTTACAAGTAATTGACAAATCCCATAATTTCGCTTCTACCATACTTTTTGTTACAAATTTTGTTGTAGTCGCTGCACGACTATTAGTATGTGTAATCAAATGTTGACCAGTGAAATTAGGGAGTAATTTCACGCGCGTTTTGTCCAAATCCTAATAATTTCCCTCGCCTAAACTCGCGTGAAATTACTCCCTAATTTCACTAGTCAAAATTTGATTACACATACTAATTTCTCAATTAATGACGTTGGTGGACGTGAAAACACCTCAAAGAATTTTTCTCCTCAATCTTGGGTGCAGTGCCTAAGTGTTTACCTCTGGCAAAATTCGCCTTCAAACATTTGACAAGATGAGCGAGTTAGAATAATCGCGATGAAATTTGGAAGAATGCGAATGTACGTGACTATTTTCGTCGCCTTCGCCGTTGTGAAAGCTCAGTCCTACCCATGCTAGGGACCATTTGGATTTTATCGTCCATGTTAACTACACATTTTGATATAGGATTAGTTGACAATGATCTTGATGGGAATAAATATGCAAAGCCACCAGCAGTGTTGGAGTGAAGAATAAGGGTTATTAGTAAAATCCAGCTAGTGGTCTATTATCAATGCTGCGTTCTGATTGGTTGAGCTACTACTAGGCTAGACGTTATAGCCCACTAGCAGCGAAAAGCGCCGGCTTTTTGGCGGCAAAAAGGATTAAAGTCTAGCTTTAACTAGCTAAAAGTTTTTTATTCTCGATATGTTTGACCAACTAGTTGGATTTTGCTAAAACAATTATTCCTCGAGCCCGAATGGCCTCTGAGTCAATAGCCCATTCGGAGTTCGGCCTCATGGGCTATTGACTCAGAACCCATTCGGGCTCGAGGAATAATTGTTAAAGAAATACCAATAACTATCGGTAATGTGGTGCTGGCCGCAATACCTTCATTGCGGTAATTTAGATGATTGTATCACGTTGGTATCGATCAAGTGACACTAGCTCACGCTAACTGACTGGTCATGCGCGTTTTTAACCGAAAAAACAACCTAACAGTTTTAACTAACCGTTAAGAAACGGTCTTCATGCCCAGATTTCACGTTTCTTCGTCAGAAAATTATAACGTCCAACACTGAACTCTGCTGCAAGGAAACGAACACTATAAATACGACACTTTCTTGAAGACGTAGTCTCCATACAAAATTCTCAGTTCTCTTTGGACAATTTGATTTCTTGTAGGCTTGCAAATTTTCTCGATGTTTGGTAAAAAAAAAATCTAATTTTGGTATATAGTGACGTTTGTAGTCCTCTTTGGCTCCATTTTTGTGAGTATTTTATGGACACCTTGCCAGTTTGGACAGTCTTCATTATTCTCGTAGCAGAGTTCACTCCTCGGGATATAAGTAACTGACAACGATTAAAGAAGACGTTTTGTTGCCTTTCGTTCTTTCGTTCTGCAGATATGTCATAGAGATCGGAATCCCTTTCCTGGCGTTTTCTCCCGTAAGGATTCTCCGTGTATTTGCCTACTGTAGCGAGGTAAGAAAAGCTACAAATCAAATTTTTCTGCATCATCTCTTATCTTTCCCCTTTCCGTGATTTTTGGATGTTAAAAGTTAGTTAGATGTGATCGTCCGGGTGAGTGAAGTTAAAGGGATACCAGTGATAGTCACAGAAGAATAAAAACAAACAAACAATCGAGGTTTATTTAAGCACCCTATGTTATTATTCATGTCTTCCACAGAGTCGTCCTTCACTACCTACTATATAAGAAATCTTATATGAGTAAAGAATTGACAACTCAATTATTAAACTTAAGGATCGGATTTAAAAATCAAACTGTGTGGAAGCTATCGTCACTGTAATTTGTAGCTAAGGGCCTTTCTTTCACTGTTTAACCCCTCTTTGTTTTTATGACTTTTTCCCCAATACGCATGCAGAGCCTGGTCCCAGCTCTCTGATTTGTGATCTCGCCTCTCTATTAGTCTATTTTAAAATAAATCACTTGAGAGAAAAAGGTTTTATTCCAGTGTCGTTTTTTATCCATATTGAGTTTGTTTGCAACGTTGCTTACAACAGAGTTTCTTGTTAACGTAATCTTACAAATTTAATCGCACACTTCCAATAGTTGTAAGTATTGAAATTGTTGCAGATATTTCTACAGCTGTTGATTCTTCTCACTGGTAACTACAATTTCTTCAA